TTTCACCTGGACTATGGCGCTTTTTGAATGACTTCACTGTGTGAAATAGTTCAAGTGACATCCGGCTAATTTCTTGGGCATGCTGATTTCCGTTTCGCACAGGAAGTCCAGAAACAACCATGTAAGCGTCACCAATAGTTTCAACCTGAAACATTACAAATAATTATTAAAATACAAGAAAAATCACGAGTTATTTTTTTTTAAATACTATAGAATACTCTAGAATATTAACAAGATATAAAAACTTCAAAAATGAGAATAATTTAAATATGAACCTGTTATATTTATATTTATCAAGTATAACTCAATAAACAGTTATAATGGAACAATCTAAAATAAAACATACGTAAACATATCCATTTCAGCCAAACGAACTCCAACAATTACGATTAAAAATTCCATTACCGAGAATCGAACCCTGGATTTAATGTTGTAAGTCCGCAAACTTACCCTTAACCCGCCGAGAGACATATATTGACGACGTAATGTTTTATAAAGCTTTTATTAAGGAAATTTATTTCGTTCGTGACTTCAACGAAACTTAACTTTACAACATTATTTACGTTGGTGAAACTAAACGTGATGTTCTTTTAAGATATGAAAACGGGGGCGTAAACGAATTTTTTAATATCAAGTTCACCGTTTTTCATTATCTAGCTACCAAAAAATGAAGACAAATTTTGCTGGACTAGCAACTGTACAATCAGACCAGATAATGTATCTAAGCGTTCGCCAACAGGCCTTATATATATGTTTTTCAATTTTTCCTTTATATTGAATGACCAAGATACTCTTTTGATCTGCGATTTTTTTACTGCTCTTGATCACATTAAACCAACACAATAAGTGTTATTATTTGCCTCAAAGTTATTTTGATATCACAAATACAAATAATTTAAAGTCACATCTAAGTCGTAACTTCAGTTGTTTTTTAATCCACACACTGATATTGGTGATCATCTCCTGAGTTTTATTTACAAAGTGTTAGGTTTGTATGAAATCAATACTAGCTGATTCCACGTGATTGATTTCTGGCCTTAGTATGTGAATGAGCAAGCTTTGTTTGTTCATCAGATTACTAGCTGCCTTCCATCTAGTATTACACTGCTAAATTAGGGACGGCTAGCGCAGATAGCCCTCGTGAAACTTTGCGCGAAATTCAAAAACAAACAAAAATAGACGGCGAGGAAATAGAGAAAGGGGTGATAGGGATGGGGTGAAGTATACAATGAATCCAGTATTTCATTTAGTTTTAAAATTTTTACGCACTTAAGCCATTTATCTCACTGAAAATATGAACATTTGATATATATTGTTACATGAAAAGTGAAATGTTGATACTTTCTGTTTACAAATAGCTAACCATCGGCCCTCTGTTCAGGTGACACCCTGGTAACATCTTGTCGCTATATGCTATCATCCTTGTAATCTCGTTCAAAACCTCTATGACTTGACAGCAAATTTCTTAATAAAGTTGTAACTAAAACTAGTAATACACTTGTCAAAAAAAACAACAAAAAACTTGTTCTCTTTTACAAAATACAAACTTAGTTAAATTTTGCCTTAAAAATAGTTTCGGTTATTGTCTGTGTCAACCAGTTTTTCGAAAAACACATTTGTAAGATTTTTGCATTAACTGCCATAAGAACCTATTTGTATAATTTTTGATAAAAGAAAAGCATACAGCCAGGTGTCCTCGTAATATCAGTGTCCACGGATACTTTAGAATTTTATCGAAGTTAAAATACTAAGAACTTATACAAATTTATCTTTAAAGTTTCAAGTTCACGGAAGTAATTCGAAACACAATTACTCAGTTGACAGATACTGCTTAACCGTAACCAGAATCTTAAGGTTTCCTTAACTAGACACAGTTTCGAAACACAATTACTCAGTTGACAGATACTGCTTAACCGTAACCAGAATCTTAAGGTTTCCTTAACTAGACACAGTTTCGAAACACAATTACTCAGTTGACAGATACTGCTTAACCGTAACCAGAATCTTAAGGTTTCCTTAACTAGACACAGTTTGTTCATAAAGCTTTTCTTTAATTTCTTCTACTTAGTTCACCTTCTTTAAAACTGTCAACTACTTGTACTTTTATACTAAACAGCTTGTTCACGCTTTTCCTAACTACTGGCCAAGTGGTTATCATGCTGGGCTGCGTACCTAAAGATCCGAAGGTCGAGCCCTGGAAATTCCACACGTTGAGCTGTGGGGGCATTATAACCATGAACCTCAACCCTGCTATTCGGTTAAGAATAGCCGTATAGATGGTGAAGCTGCTAACTGATTGTTCTCTCTGTGGGCTCAGGTGGATAAACCTAAACCTTGGGTTTCTTATCTGACCATTTAACTCTTGTGTTACAGCTCAGTTTGCAAATACAAAGTACCAAGTCATAGCTACTGTCATATAGAGCTTTATCAAACGTGACCAATTTAAAATAAGGCAAGTTATTCGAACTGGACAGGAGAGTTATATAGAGTTGTTTGTTTGTAGTTAAGTACAAAGTAACACAATGGGCTATCTGTGCTGTGCTCATCACGGGTATCGAAAACCGGTTTTTAGAAAATGGAGGGGGGAGCAGTTGTATAGAAAGTATTTCGACATATGTTTTGTGGAATGTTAACATTATCTTTTATTAAACATATGTTACTTCACTTTCTTGAGTTTCAGAATAAACAGATCTCCATGAAATGTAAGTTTTATGCTACACATAATAAAATAATAATTTCAATTTTCTGGATTAAGCCCGTAACTTTCTTGAGTTTGGCTCTATTTAATTAAGTATGTTACCAATATTAGAGAAATATATATATATATATACGATATATCGATGTTAACTATTAATATATATATATATATATATATATCAGAAAGTTATCACTGTATGCAAATAAAACATAATTTTATAGCAGTTTTGATTTATCGGCATTTTTCCTTTAAGAAATAATTATCATGTTTCACATCATTGATGGTTAAAGAAAATTCAGTGCTGGAGTTTTCAACATTCTGTAATGACTTCAGATCTAATACACAATTGTTTATTTTCTAATAAGTTATGGATCGAACCACTAATACAATGTTTGTTTGTTTGTTATTGAATTTCGCGCAAAGCTACACGAGGGCTATCTGCGCTAGCCGTCCCTAATTTAGCAGTATAAGACTAGAGGGAAGGCAGCTAGTTATCACCACCCACCGCCAACTCTTGGGCTACTCTTTTACCAACGAATAGTGGGATTGACCGTCACATTATAACTTCCAATAGGCTGAAAAGGAGAGCATGTTTGGTGGGACGGGGATCCTGTTAATGACAGATGACGTTGCTAAAAATAGCATTTCTCCCGTAATTATAATTTATTGTGAATATTTATTACAAATCTTTGATCAGACCAAGTTATTGTTAATCAGATGCACATATTCTGACAATGGACTTTTGCAGTCTATTGCTTTTAAATACAATGACATTTAAAAATTTGGGGTGACATGACAGTTAGTTGTAAGTTTTCAATGGAATTTGAGATGCGAAATGTATCTTATTTGTTTGCTTTGAAGTGTGTTAAAGTGGTGTAAATAATAGAGAACTTAGTGTGAAAGTGCAACAAAACACATTAGGTTTTCAGTTTTTAGTTTAAATTTGAAATAGGGGGAAAAATAACCCATATAACTAATATCCATGTGGATTGAAAAAACAAAGTTAGTACTAAATTAGTAATTGTAACGTTATAGCTTTAGTTAATAATCATCTTCATAACACTATTTTCAGACTTCACTGAAGATGGAAAAAGTGTATACCGAAACGTTCGAACCTTGTAGAAAACTGCTTTAGCTTTCATAAAACAGTTTTAACATTTTAAAACCAGAGACATTTTTACATCTTTCAATAACCTTTACTGAAATATTAAATAAGCCAAAAGCAAAACCTAGACCAATACATTGTACATCCGATCGTGTTCCGTGCCTTTTGACTACACGAGAAAATGTTCTGAAATACTTTTTTCGTTAGTT